TAAAAAAGAAAAACAGGTCATATGCAAGCCACCAAGCACTTCGGCATGCTTGGGGATGAAAGGAGGCCTGACAACATCTCTGCCTCTAATTATCCCGGCAGGCCAAATTAGCAGGCTGCTTTGAAGTCAGCCGGAGCTCATAAAGCACAGCCCTGCTGAAAGCTGCAGGAGCAAGGGGTGGGAGCTTGGGAGGGAAGGGGCTGAGTGGAGCATCAGGGGCTCAGCAGGGAGGGGTTGGTGAGAATTGGAAGGTTCTGGGGGCCATAGCGGGAGGGTGAAGGCAGCTACTGGGGAGCTACTTTTGTCCCCATACCTTTGCCACTGCTGCGTGATTAAACCACAGGCAGGGGAGGGGATGTCATCCAGGGAGGACCCTCCTGGGCACCTCACCGTCTCATTCCCCTGGGACCCCCAGCTCCTGCTGCCCGGCTGGGCACAGTTTTAGTTCTGACCCCCTTGCCATGCTGCCTGTGTGGGTCAGTGTGGAAGTGAGGGGCTGCTCTGCAGTGCAGAGACCCCTGTCCCTCCTCCAGGTCACAGTGGGGATGACTCCATGCTGTCCCGTTATCCTCACTCTGCTTCTCCTCTCTCCCTGGCAGGAAGAAATCGCTATCGGGCGAAGAGAAACGGAGGTAGGACTGACTCCCACCCTGCTCCCTGGGGACTGGCTCCCAAAAAAAAACACTGTCCTCAGCAGGGTCCTCAAAGCGAGGGCTGAGGATCCCCATGAGGGAGCCAGCTACATAAGCCTGGGGGTCTAGGAGAAGGTTTTGCCTGAGGGAGGGACTTTTCCAGGAGGAACTGTGGAGCTGGGATGGTGTCAGGCTCTGGAGGGGTGAGAACAGCTGAGTCATAACAGAGGCTGCCTCCTCCACCAGGCTCTTGGTGTGGGGGGTTCTTCCCACATGGCACCTCCTTGGCAGCACCAGGAAACTGTGCATAGCGAGTGGGGGGGACATGTCACCACCCCACCTCCCCGTCTGTAGGAACAAGAACGGGCACGGTGGGCCATGCCTGCAGAACCCGTCCCGCCCCGGGACCTGCACTGTCCATGGGTCGGAGTTCTGGAGCTCCTACCGCCTGAACATCACTGAGGTGAACCCACTGGGGTCCAGCTACCGCCTCCTTGACATCACTATGCAGGCCATCAGTGAGTCCCCGTCTGTCCATCTGTCCATCCCTGTGTCTGTCCATCCAGCCCCAGGTGGCAGCAGGGGTCCCAACACCCCTCTGTACAGCCCTGTGGTGTGACAAGGGCTCCCTATCCTCTCCCATGCAGTTAAGCCAGACCCTCCAGAGGGCTTGGTGGTGGAGCCCATCCCCCTGGCCCCGCGGCGGCTCCACGTGAGCTGGAAGTACCCCTCCTCCTGGCCCAAGGAACCCCACTTCCAGCTCAGGTTTCGGCTCCAGTACCGGCCCGTCATCCACCGCTCTTGGTCCGTGGTAAGCGATGGGCAAGGGAACGCAAAGCTGGTGTGGGAGCAGGGTGGGCACGGGGCCAGGGAGGGCAGCAAGGGGTGCAGCCTCTTGCCCCACAGCTCCCCTCTGCCCGACACAGGTGGAGACAGTGAACCTCTCTGAGGTGATCACGGACGCCTTCACCGGCCTGGAGCACGTGGTCCAAGTCAGCGCCAAGGATTTCCTGGATGCGGGGAACTGGAGCGAGTGGAGTGCCGAGGTCCGGGCAACACCCGTCAGAGGTGAGAGGTGTATCTAGGATAGGATAGGATAGGATAGGATAGGATAGGATAGGATAGGATAGGATAGGATAGGATAGGATAGGCCACTCCTCCCCTAATCTGTACTTGTGCTCAGCATTACTTCATCCTAGGTTCAGAATCTGGCATTTCAATTTATTATTTTCATCCCAGTGCTCCAATCTATCTAGGTCCCTCTGCATGGCCTCTTGTCCCTTAAGAGAGCCAATGGCACCTCCCAGTTTGGTATCATCAACAAACTTCTTCGTGGTGCATTCAACTCCTGCATCCAGATCGTTGATAAATGTATTGGAGAGGATTGTCCCAAGAATTGAACCCTGAGGAACACCACTGGAGACTGGTCACCAGCCAGATGTGGCCACATTCACTGCAACCCTTTGAGCTCTGCTCTCCAGCCAGTTCTTCACCCATCACACTGTGAACCCACTCATCCCACAGCTGGACACCTTGTCCAGAAGGATGCTGTGTACCATCCCTCCCCAAAACCCTTCCAGCACTCTGGGCTGCTCCTCTCAGCTCCTTCCCCAAGGCACCTATTCCCCCAGATATTACCCAGAACAAGCCCCAGATCCTGAGATCTCTTAAATTTGACCTGAAAAACTGGTCCTCTGCACCATCCAAAAACTCGCCCCATGGTGAAAGGCAGAGCTGCAAGGGAGCAAAGCATCTCTCAGCCCCATGTACATCTGTGCTGCTGCCATTTGGGGATGGCTCCCCACAGCCCTGGGGCATTGCGGGGCTCCCATAGCACCAGTAGCACCCCAGGGGCACTCTTGAGCTAGTGGGATACCTGGGGCACAGGTGCACCCTTCTTCACTCCTCTCTGTGGGTGCTTTTAGTGCTTTTGGGTGAGTGATTCCCATCCCCTCTGTCCTTCCAGACCCAGCCACCACCATGCGTGATGAAACCACTACATTCGCTGCCCTGGAGAGCCTGGCTGAGGAGCCCTCCCAGGCTGCCAACCCTGAGCCCATCAGTGAGTAAAGCTGGGGTGATGGGCAGGAGTGGAGGCAGCCCACAGACAGCTGCCTGCCCGGCCACACATGTGGCTGAGAGCAATGGGAAGGATCACTTTCCCTATGCCAGTGTGGGGCTGGGAATCTGGGGTGTCCAGCAGCTTGCCACAGGGTCCCCTGGCTGGCTGGGGCTGTGGCTTCTCTCAGCCATGACAAACTCTGTCCCAGACCGCAGCGACCCCCTGGAGAAGACGGCTGTCCTGGTGTCCCTCGGGATCTTTGCCTTCTTCGTCCTGGCTGCTGTTCTCGTCATCACTGTCCTCATCTGGTAGGTTGGGTTTTTGAGAGGGAGGGGTCTGTGTGAGTTCTGTCCCCATCCCACCCTGACCCCCAAACCACCAGCATGGGGTGCCCCATGTCCCCCCAGCCCTGCTTTGGTGTCGCTGCCCAAACAAACTTGATGCCAGCCCCGTAAGGTGGTACAGGCTCCTCTTGTCAGGGCTGGTCCCCAGCACATCAATGCCTCTTCCCAGCATACCCCACGACAAGCCGCAGCACTGCTTGGCCTGCCTGGAGCCTTTCTGATGAGCCTATATCCATGGGACCTTTCTCCATAATCCCCAAAGACCCTGCTGCTACTAATGCATCCTCCCAAAGCCTCCTGCCTTTCTGGGGACTCTCATGCTCCAGAGTCAGCACAGAGACCCCTCCGTATGCCTTTGCCCCCCAGGACTCCTGTCCCTGTGCACTGCCCACTGCCCCTGTCTCCAAGTCACATCTCGTCCTGCCACTGCTGGGATCTCACTGCCATGCCTTGGGTCTGCTGTGGGTCCCTGTTGCCATCCCAGCCCTTCCCAATGTCATGACTGGCTCCTTCTGTATCCCTGGAGCTGGTGCATTGGAACGGCTGGGCACAGCTGGGCACAGCTGGATGGTGGTGCAAAGCAGGATCACCAGGGATGCAGGCAGTCCTGGTGCCCATGGAGGGCAGCTCAGGGTCCTCAGCCACTACTGCTTTGTCCCCAGGCTCCGGGTGAGGAAGCACGTCAAGGACGAGACCAAACCCCACAACTTCTTGGTTGCTGCCACCCACTTGAAGGTGCTGCCGAGTGAGTCAGGGGACAGAGGGGCTGCAGGGCAGTGGGGGGTCCCTGCTGCTGCCCTGGGGAAGGGGACAGGCAGGGAGGTGCCTCCCTGACCCCTGCCCTTTCTCTCAGCAGAGGCCCAGATCCTGTAGTGAGCCCTGGCTGATTCCCGCTCCCTGCACCCCCTCGCCCACGCGTGGGACTTGATGCCCTCAAGTACCCCACACCTCCCAGATTGCCCTACAGCCGTGGACATTGCTGGAGCTCCCATCACCCTGGGAGTACAGGATGGACCATAAGGAGAGAGGCTATGCTCCCAGGAGCTTTGGGCTGCCTGTGCTCACCAGGAGCTGGCTGGAAGCACCTTGCACTCGGGTCAACCAGCCAGCCCCACCACCAGGCGCTGCTGAACACATATGGGGATAAAACGCTGAGCCAGCCCCACTTCACTGCCTAGTGTTGAGGGGGACCATGGGTGCAGGCTCCTAGGGGTGCCGGGCATTGGTGAGCAGAGGGTGCTAAGCCCTGCCCACCATCTCCCCACCAGCCGCCAGCAGAAAGGATCCTCTCCTGCCTCCCTGCCCCTTACCCCCATGCTGTGGCTGGATGGAGCACTGATGCCAATAAAGGGGATAGTATTCGCACTGCCCAAGAAAGGCTCCCCTACAGATGATGCTGGGCTGGGATTGAGGTGAGTGGCACCGGGTGAAATGCCAGCTTTGGGACAGTCCTTGCAGGAGGTGTACACACAGCAGGCCTGGTCCCCAAACTGCTCAGACCCATCCTCAGGTGCCTGAAGGGGCTGAGAGAGACCCTTGCCCAGGCCAGCCCTTACTGAGTGCCAGAAGAGGATGCAGGCAGATGCCTGGGACATCTGGCCTGCCCTGGCCAGCCCAGCAGCAGGGACAGGACCCTCTGCACAGCCCCCCTCACTCGGCATGCAGCCCCCTCCCCACACCTCGATCCAGCCCCTCTAATGGCTTCCATGTGTTGGCACCTCCTGACACCGGTGCTCAGCTCCAGCAGCCTGATGAGATCCAGATGGGGCTGGGTGGAAATTCAGATAGTGGCGGCATGGGGAGCATGGGGGGCAGACCCAGTGTGGAGTGGGTCCCTGCGCCCACCCTACCAGGGAGATTTGTTACTCCTGCTGGGCTCTGGGCCTGTCCTTGAACCCGGGGTGCAGAGGGACTCTGGAGAAGGGGAGAACTTCCAAAAGGGAAGAGAACTTACATGGGGACTGGGTTGGTGAGGCCCGGGGGCTATGCCTTTTGTAATGGCTTATGTGCCCATGGACCCCTCTACCCTTCCTGGGTGCCCCTGCACTTGCACTCCAGGGCCAGGGTGTGGGGGCTGCTTGGCTTTACAAGGTCCCAGCTCCTCACTGCCCCTGCTGAGGGCACTCACCCCTCTCCCAGGTACATCCCAGAACTTACCAGCTCCAGCTATGTCCTGCTGCCATCACCTGCTGGACTCTGGTCCCTGGCGTTCAACCCAGCCAGCATCCTTTCTAGTTTGTCACCATCATCCTTGTCTCCCCTTGGTCTCCAGCATGGTGTGGGCAGCCCTTTCCACTTGGAAACCTGCTCTTACCACCACCAGATACCACTCCCCTGCCACCATGGAGAGGATCAGGGCTGTGGTTGTCCATAGCATGCTGTTAAACACAGGTGATGTCCATCACATAGCAGTGGCTCCAGCGTTTGCAAACTGAGTTCAGTGGTTTTGCAGCACCTGGTGCTGGTTTAGAGGCTGACTCCTGCTCAAAACACAGAAGAGCAGCCAGAAAATGGGGGAAAGTGTGAGCCAGCAGTTCTGGCCCCTGTATCTTGCCTGCATATGAACTCCAGAAAGTCCAGGAATGATCCAAATAGAAGGGGGTTACTGCTGACCTAAGGAAGCAGAGACCACTGGAGCCTTGCACATCCATAAGGGAACATGTGCCTGCATTGTGCAGGCAAGCTCAGGTGGGTAGATGAGAAGTGACAGGCAGAGGGGACCCAGAGCTCTGGTGTCCCAGACCAGGGCAGCTTGAGGGCAGGAGATGCACTTCTGCTCCTCATCACCACACCCTGCTGCCCTGAGAGTGACCCCTTTCCTCTCTGATGGAAGATTTGGAGGCAGGACCTGCCACCCACCTGACAGCTGGAGATACCAAGAGTGGGCGAGAGGTCTGCGTGCCTGCACACTGGGATGCCCCATGGCTCAACTTCCTGCCCCAGCAGCCTGTAAATGTGACACGTGGGCATCGGGGACCCCGAGGAAGATGCACATTCAGTGCTTGCAGGGCTAAAATGCTTGGTGCTTGGTGCTGCACTCCTGACTGCCACAGGGAAGGATGTCCTCACGCTGGACATGGGTGAACAGGGCTTTCCGCTGGACCAGTGAAGTTGCAAGGGGAGGGCTGGGGTGAACAGCAATCTGGGATAAAGGAGAGGGTTCCAGATGCCAAAGACAACTTTGCCTTCAAGCCATGGAGAAGAAAAACAGGAAGGGACCATGAGAGCAGTCCCAGCGCCGGCACCTCCCTGTCCCACCGCGGGGCCAGGGCACTTCCTCCAGGGCTTGGGCTCCTCGGTGGCTCACACGGCCGCTGGGCGAGCAGGAGGCTTCCTGCTGCAGGCTGGAGCCCTGCCTGGGCGCACCCTGCCCCGAGTAGGCAGAGGCACTTCCAAACTTGCCTTGCTGCTATAGCCCACCCTCCTCGAAGCCGGTGATGTGCCAAGATCATGGGGGGAGCTCGTACGAGCCAGGCCTGGGGGTGCTGAGGCTGTGCCAGGTCAAAGCAGCCTGTGGGCTGCATCCACAAGGAGCAGTGATAGGTCCAGCTCCCTGTCATGGGACAGGGACCAGGCAGAGCCCAGCAGGAGAACATGGCTCAGGTCCTGCTAGGGGCTCAAAGTTTCCAGCAGACAATGCCACATACCAGGAAAGATCCCCAGTGTTGAGGTGCAGAGAAGCTCATGTCTGTGCTCTGTGTCTACATCCAGCACAGGGTGGCCCCATCCAGAGCATCCTTTGGGCAGGGGCTGGGGTGCACCAATACCCAGATGTGTGCAGGGCTCCTCTGGGAAAGCAATTGCTCCTTTGGGTCAAAGCCATTGCGGTGAGGCACTGGTTGTGGACTGTTATCCAGCAATGCCTGGGCTGCTTGACTGCCACCAACCCTGCCAAATATCTGGGCTGGCCCTCAGGCCCAACCTCCTCCTCCTCTCCCTGCCTTGCTGCCAGGATTGGCCCGCATTTTGCAGGGGAGGAGGCGGGTTGCACAGGACCGTGAAGCAAAACAGTCTCAATTTACCTCTCATGGCTGTTCTCGCTTCCTTCTCTGCCACATCCTGAGCCAAGGAAAGAAATAAAAGCAGCTCCAGCAGATTGTGGAAGCGACAGGGGCCTGAAACATATATATGTCATGAGGTGAGGGAGAAGGGAAAGGGTACGTATGCACTCAGTGGTTCAG